CTCTCCCTCCCATTGCCCCCAACCCCCCAACAGGCCCTAGTGTGTAATGTTCCCCTCCCTGTGTCCATGTGTTCTCATGGTTGTCAGCTCCCTTATCAGTGAGAACATGCGGTGTTTGGTTTTCTATTCCTGTGTTAGTTTTGCTGTGAATAGTGGCTTCTAGCTCCATCCATGTCAGCAAAGGACATGAAACTCATTCTTTTTCATGACTGCATGATATTCCATGGTGTATATATATTTTCCCATTCTTTTACTTTTTATTTGTCTTTGCCTTCATATTTAAAGAGGGCATTATGTAAACAACATAAAGTTGGCCTATACATTTTGTAGATTCTGACAATCTTTGCCTTTTAATTATAGTGCTTAGACCATGTGCATTTAATTCAATTATTAGTATGGTTGTTTTAAACTCTACTGTCTTACAGTTTGTTTTCTCTTTTTCTTATCAGATTTTCCATTTGTATTTATTTTTAATTAATTATGCTTAGTTTCCTATTTTATCACACTCCACATTTGGCCTCTTAGTGATACCTCTTTGTTTAGTAGTTGTCAAGAGTTTAAAATATTCATCTTAATAATTCTACCTTCAAATAATAACATATTACTTCACATGTATAAGAAACTTAAAACATTATCCTTCCATTTCTCCTTCTATTCTTTTGTGCCATTGTCATCATGTTTACTTGTGGGTCTGTATAAACCCCCAAATAATTTTCACTTTAAACAATTACCTTTCTCAACTCAAAAATAAAAAAACTAGAAACCATGTTTTTATATTTGTCTGCATTTACCATCTCATACTCTTTTCATTTTAACATCTAGAGAACACTCATAAAAAAAACAAAATCTGCACTCCAAATAAGATGTTTTCTTCATAGTCTCCATATTCTCAAACCTTTGAAAGGCCTGGTAATGATAATTTAACTTCTCACATGGAGTGATTATGGCTGATAAAGAATTGCAATGAACTGGCTGGAGTTTCTTATTTTATTTCTTGGCTCTTGGTTTATCATGTGAAAATATCCTCCATGAGATATTGCCAATTACAATCCAGTCTTGGGAAGGGAGCTCGGGGGCTGTGAATGGAATCCAAATCACCTGAAATCTTGAAATCCAGGTGGACCAAATTTCTTCCCTCAGAGATTTCAAGCACTTGCAGTCTTCAGAAACTACATCCAAGCAAAACTTTGTCCAAGTAAAATTTCCCCCAAATATCCTTTCTCTACCCCCTATCCCTGGTTGAGGAAGAACCCAGGAGCTGAATTACTATCAGACCTTTTTCCATTTAAGTAAGATCAGAGACAGCACAGTAACTATATCTGCAGGCTTGAAACCACACGCTATTAAATCATATTCACATGTGACCTTGTCCTAGATTTCCAGTAAGAATGACTCAGAGTCTCCCAGCTCTGCCATGCTAGCGTATTTAGTAGTCTTAGAGTTATGCTGGAAGGTGACAGTGATGGATTCTTCAAAGAGATACAGAGGTAAAAGGCTCAATGAAGGGTTAATCTCATATCAGTGCTACAAAAGTGTCAACATTTATTCATTACCTTCTGTTGTTGGGAACTTTAGTAAGGAATGACTGCTTTAAGGTAACAGATAACGACAGAGTCTGAAGGGTCAGCAATTCAGTCAGCCACTGGGGTAGTGAACACATGAAGTGAGAAGAAAAGCTGAGATACAGTTTGTAGAGCAGCTGGAGTTCAGATCTCCCCTAAGTTCTCTTCTGTTCAGATATTTTGTCACCTGCAGCAACACACATGGTCTGTCATTCCTGGGTTCAATGCTGTAAGCTAGACCCATCTTCCCCTCCCTTTATGTCTGACCTTCCCATTTCTCTGCTGCCCTGTTTAGGTCCCAGGAGGAGAAGGTGGTCATCTGTGCATATGCCCTGTAGTCCTCCAGGTGAACCTTGTACCTGGAGGCCAAGGAGTTCCCTAAAATCATCGAGATTTCACCCCCAAAATTCCAGCTGACTTTGAGGGCATCCCGTATGCTTTATGTCTCCAAAATATCCTGACAAGGAAGGGCCATTTCACAGGGTAGAGAAGAAACCTTTCTGGGATGAGACTTGGAAGGGACAAACATCCAAAACCATATCAATGAAGGCAATGAAGGAGGATACTTGCTCACATTGTGTAAACTGCTCTTTGAAAGGATTTGAAGCCAAGGTAAATTCTCTAAAATGATCTCTGTTGAACATCTGACAGCAGTACTTCCCTCTTCCTGGAATTCTTTGAATTCCTTGGCTTGTATGACAACATATTCTCTTAATTCTTCTGCCTCTCTCACTTCTCTCCATTTCGTTAAATGCTCTTCTTTTGATGTTTGGTTAATCATGTATCTTTGCATTAATTTTTCTCTTTCAAGATATTTCATTTAAAATATAATTTACTTTTATTACTGAGTTCTTTTGAGTATCCCAAATTTTGCACCTAAGTCAAGTGCATCCCTTACATCACCCTAGTCCCAGCCTTCCTTTCCATAGTTCCTCTTAACGTCTGACATTCTCCATTCGCTTCATTCTGTTACAAATCATTACAGATAAATGTGTGTAGACAAAGAAAAATAAAAGAAGAATTTGTCCTACTGGATAATACTTACATACTACAATGTCATATTAATCCAAACACTAGGACACTGGCACAAGAAGAGACAAACAGAGCGGTAGAACAACATGGAACTCAGACACGAGCCCGTCTGTAATGGGGGCTTTCAGTATAGCAAAGAGACACCACAAACATGGGAAAAGGTGAACTATTTAGTAGTTCTGGAAACACTGGCTCTTTATATAGAGAAAAATAAAACATGATCCCATCAAACACAAAGGTGAATCCCAGATGAATTAAAGTAGTAAATGTGAAATTTAAAACTATAGGAGATATTTTAAGAGTATCTTTGATATCTCAGTATATAGAACTTCTTTTAAAACACACACACACACAAACAAACAAAAAAAAAAAACAGTTGATGGACAGTTACAAAATACTAAGGATTTCTCTTCAATAAGGAAACCAAGGAGAAGTTGCAGAAGTCAGATTAGGAAGCATTTGCAATGCCTACAACTGACAAGGTACTGCACTTACAGGACTATATGAGGATCTCTGCAAATCAATAAGAAAAAGATGCTCACAGTACAAAAAATGAGCATAGAATGTGAACAGGCAAATTATAGGAAAGGAACTCCCAAGTGGCTAATCAGTCCCAATTATAGCCCCAATTATAAGTAATTAAAGAAATGCAAAGTAAGACAGCATATTTCTATATGCAAATGAAATTGGCAAAAGTTAGAAAACTGGATTATGTCCAGTGTTGGAAATTGCATTTGGAGTTGCAGGACATTTCAGGTACTGACAAAGTAGAGATGAGTACAGCCATTCTGATGAGCAGATGAACAGTACTTAGTCAAATTAAGGAGCTGCATCTCCAGAGACCCTGCAACCCTTTTCTAGCATACGTACATTCCAGGGATGCAGGCCAGGTCTCTATACATCGCAGGTCCATGTGAGATACAAGCATTGCTTGCAATAGGAGAGAACCAGGGGTGATCCAGGTATCCCAGAACAATATAGATATAGATTAAATGAGATTTGAATATTTGTCCCTTCAAGTCTCATGTTGAAAAGTTGATCCCCAATGTTGCAGGTGAGGCCTGGTGGGAGGTATTTGAATCATGGGGAGACTCCCTCATGAATGGCTTAGATCACCCTCTCCAGCGTAAAGTGAGTTCTCACCACGAATAGTGCACATGAAACCTGGTTGTTAAAAAGAGTATAGCACCTCTTTCTCTCTCTCTTTCTCTGTCTCTGAACATGTGATGCACCCAGCTCCCTGCCTTCCACCATAAAGCTTACCAGATCCCAGACAGAAGCAGATGCTGGTGCCATGTTTCTCATCTGACCTGCAGATTTGTGAGCCAATTAAAGCTCTTTTCTTCATAAAGTAGGTAACTTCAGATATTCCTTTCTAGCAAAGCAAAACGGACTAATACATGGACATATAGAGTAGAGATAATGTGGAGATTTGGAAGGAAACAAACTGGATATTAAAATTAGATCTATACTTTAATGCCATTTTGGTTAATTAAAAATACATGTACACTGGACACTGCACCATATTGTACAGGATCTGTAAATAAAAAGAGTATCAAATTCATTAAAGTATTTTTACCTATGAGGTAGAGGGTAAGAGGTTAGATATGGGAGTCAGGACTGGAGATAAAAGACCAAATAAAATCGAGAGAGAGAGAGAGAGAGCTCAGAGCACCAATAGTGATAGTATAATGAACTGAGAAGTTCTTAACCTTTTATGCCACAGTGTCAGTATGAATAACAATAATAATAAATTAGATGTGGTGTCTGCATGGAAGTTCACCATCTAATGCTAAGAGAATTTAAAAACATATAAAAGTATAAAATGGTGAGTGTTATAATAAAATAGAAAATGTAAAGATCTCGGGAGGGGCATTTTTGTGAGCATTGCCGCCAGGACAAGTCAGAAGTAAGATAGCCATCATTTTAATTTTTGTGTTTTGTAATTATACTTATAGAAATATAGATCTGGCTCCATTACTAGACAATACACTATTAGGAGAATTTGGGCTTCGTCTTTTCCTTCACAAAATAAGGTGTATAGGACAATGGATAAACAGTCTTGGATCCAGACTTTCTGGATTGAAGCTAACCCTACTACTTCATAGCTGTGGGAACTTGATCAAGGTGTTTCAGGTCTGTGTGTATGTAAAAAGATAGAAGTATCTGTCATGTGAAATGGTGAAAATAATAGTACCTACCTCAAAGACTACTTGTGACCAAAAAAAGTGAGTTAATAAATGTAAATGCTCAGAATAGTGCCTGAGCATGTGCTTCCTCAGTTAGTTATCAGTCTTGTTGTTATGTGGCTGAATGCTTTTCAACCCCATTAGGAGATCAATGAGCACTTATCAAGATTGAATTTTTCCTCCCTTCCTTACATTCTGCAGATTCTAGACCTCCTCTTTACATTCCCACCTTTACAGCATTCACAGGGCCCTGGGCCGGGGAGTCATGACCATAGCCTTTAAGATGGGGATGCTGCACGATGATGCCACTAGGCCCAGCACCAGGCCCAGGGCACAGGCACAGTCTCCGTTGTCTCAGGCATCTGGATTAAACTCTTAGGCCTCTGGGGAAGGAGAATGAAGAGATAGGGTCATGAGGTGCAGTGAGGTTATTTCTGGCCTGGGATGGTTGTGGGAATTGAAGGTTATGGACCAGTTAATTGGACATTAGGATGAGGAGAGGACTGAGACCTGGCCAGTGGGGAAAGCTGGTGCTGAGGACACCAGGTCGTTGGAATGAGAGGATGCAGGGGATTATGGAGAGAAAGGGCTGTGCCCGGTGTAGCGAGGTAGTAGTCCAAGCCCCAATGCTCCACCCTGCAGTCATAGAAGTCTCGGCCGAGGGGCACAAAGGTCAAATGTGGAACTTATGCAATCTGTAATCTGTTCTGGGCAGGAAGAGGCTCTCAGTGACACCCTCGGTGACGGGCTCCCCATTGCACAGCCACGTGACGTTGAGCACTGGTGGGAAGAACTGTCAGTATGGCAGATGAGGGTATTGGGCTGGCCCAGCTCCACAGGCTCCTTAGGAAACACGGTCACCTCAGGGGGATCTGGGAGGGAGACCCAGGAGCAGGTGAGGACCCTGTTCTGGGATGAATCACAGAGGCTCCACCTCTGAAGTCCTCTCTCAGCCTTGGGTACGACAGCTCTGGGTTCTGAATCCCACAGAGGAAGTATCCACCTACTGACCAGCCTCACTCTGCTCACCTTTCTTTCTTGAGAGGGAGGATGCAAGCCCTTACTGTGTAGTGGGATTGGCCGCGACCACTAGCGGAAGAGGATTACAGCAGGGAGCATAAAAAAAAAAAAAAGGCTTCCTAGTCTGAGGGTAGCCAGAGAGCCCTCTCATCCCTTCCAGTTGGAGCTACAGAGAAGAGAAAGATAGGTAGTACCATTGGCGGCCTGAGAGAGTGGTTGGAACGGCTGGATCCTTGGTATTCAAGTGGTTGTTCAGTACCCAGCAATGTTAGCCCAGCCCGCCCTGAGCGTCAGCGACAAGGGCTTGGCCAAACTCCTCCAGATGCCAGATGGTCTCCTTCTTGTCCAGATCCATAAAACGCTCATCCTCATCCAAACTCAATATACACTCCCCTGTTGGTCTATGTGTCTGTACAAACATGGCAAAGTGGACACATAGTCCGCTGCATAAAAGAAAGTAGAAAAACATGACAAAATGTCAGTATGAATATGCAAGTGGTGAAAGCTCGAGAATGAATAAAGACTTAGGAATATAAAAAGGAAGAAGGTAAGAGGTCAAAGGCAGGACATATGGGAAAGAGACCAACACCGTGAAATAATACAGAGCAGATGGGCAGTTATAAAAAGAAAGGAGTGAAGAACAAAATGAAGTTTATCATTGTTGATAAGTCCAAAGAAGCTGCTTCCTGGTCTTTACGAAAGTCTGAGCATCCTGACCCTACACAATAAGTAATTGTAACAATGACCTTAAACTTGTAATTGAGCACTTACTTGTACCAGGTATCCTTCTAAATACTTTACATATTTCACTCGTTGAATTGTCACAATAACCCTATGAAGCAAATACATAGCACACTATTTTACAGGTAAGGAAATGCAGAGAGGTTAAATATTAATAAATTGCCAAGGTCATACAGCTACTGGTGGAACTAGTAGAGATTTTCTACACTTAAGGTCTTAATTATTCTAAGACACATTGAAATTGCTTTTAGTCATGGGGTGGGGAAGAGTGGACATTTTATTTTTTTCTTATTGCAGAAAGAGAAAAAATAGAAAATTGGGAGGAAGATAATATCCTTAAAGTTTTAGTGTTCTTGACAGTTTTAAAGTTTCTGTCTCAGTTTATGAACATGAAACTAGAATGTACAGCTTTGTTGATAATATTTTCACTTGGGCATATAAATTCAAGCACAATACAGTTATTTTGGCATTTGTTCCAAAATTTTGTTTCCTTTTTTAAAATATTTCAACATTTATTTTATGTTCAGGAGTACATGTACAGGTTTATTTACATGAGTAAACTCATGACTCAGAGCTTAGTGTACAGATTATTTCATCACCCAGGTACTAAGCATTCTAAACTTTTCTTACATTTATAATTTGATTTATGTTCTAGAGGCCAACTAGAAATTATTGCTGAGTTTGGAACACCTGTGGGATTTAATTTATTTTGTTTCTTAGTCTTTATTTGTTTGCAAGAAGTAGCAAAGATAAGAGGATAAAAGCAACTATAATCATTAAAAGAAAACAATGGGCGTGTATGTGGGGAGTCTGGGTTTAGAATGATAAATGCATAGAGAGGTAGAGAAGGCACCACAGAGCTCATCTGTTCTCACCTCCCAACTCACAGATTCCTGCAAGTTTGTAGCCTGATATATGGACCCAGTCTGTGCTTGCCCACTTACAGTGATGGGGAGAATGACGCCCTGTCACGCAACAGGAGAATTGTAAGTATCTGGAGGTATGACTTGTGTCTTATTCTTCACACAGGGAATGACTCCCTGTCACTGCAAGTGGCAAGCACAAGTGGTATTTCAAACTAAACAAAATAAATTAAATCCTATAGGTGTTTCCCCAAAGGAAACTTAGCTTCCTCCTCAGTTTAAGGACTCAAAGGACTCATGGGAAAAAGGGTAAAATAAAAGACACAAAGTCTTCTAGCAATTACTGGAACCCATCTTCTTAATACATGAATGTCCCGTGTATTTTTAAAATGCTTTTAAAAACATTTTCACAAGTTCTGCTGTCTGAAGATCAGCCAGATATGAAACAGGTTATTTTACTTCAAAATGTCATTTCTATTCAGACAAAAATATGTATTGAAAGACTACTATATATCCAAACTTTACTGTTAGATGGTAAATATTCAAATAAAAATACTTGCATAGGTCCTGTTCTGCAGACATGTACAATTCACAGAAGGAAACATAAGTGACAAGACAACAGCAGGTTCAGAAGGATAAGTGCAGATACGTGGGTATACACAGCATGTGATCAAACAGCACATCAGGGAATGGCTTCGGAGGGAACAGATGGCTTCAATGTAGACATTCAGAGAAACAGGGCAAAAGCCACTTCTCACAGGAAGACAGCCTGACGGGAGAAGATACTGAGTTCACTGTGGGAGCTATTGCACTTAGACGATCTGATCATCTAAGGAGAAATAATGCGCAGACATTTGTGGATGATGGGTGGTCTCAGGAGAGGAGTTTAGGCCAAGAAAACTGAGAGTCATTGAAGAGTGGCAGGTGCAGGTTAGATGAGCTTTTCAGGAAAGTGTAAAATCAGGGTGCAGAGATCTCAGGCTATGATGAGAGGACATGATAATTAAGAGGTGATTTAAAGGATGATAAGGAGGATCCAGAGAAACAGGAGACAGATAAGGACAGGAGTAGTCATCAGAAAGAAGTGGATTACAGTGCAAATGTTGTTGGTAAGTCCAGAGTCAGAGGCACTGAGAGGAAAGACCCACTGGGTTTGACCTTCTGCAGAGATTCCTGATGACCAAGATGAGAGGGATCTACTGGACACAAGTCAGAAACTTGGTTCAACTGTGAGGACACAGAGAGTGTCTCTAGGGTAGGATGCAGGTAAGGTTGTTTATCCAGTTTGGTTTGCACTTATGTTTTTAAGGTAAAGGTTATGTTTAGATGTTAAGAGACAAGGAACCATGGGAGGGGAAACCCTGAAGAGGCAAGCTGAGCAAATTATGAATTTCTACAATAATCCTAAACACATTCAAATCTAAGAAGATATACTTCCCATTGTGATGTTATTATAATAACTAACATTAAAAATAACCAGGTAGCGTGAACAGGGCAATCGATATTTCTGATTCTCCCAGTCTCACCTCCTTTTGATATTCACATCTTAAATAAAACTGTCTGAGGCCAGTGTGCATCTTGTATATTATGGATTCTAACCTTCCCCATCACTAGATTTTGGGATGACAGCATCATACACAGGCTTGATGTCATTCTCCCTGATGTCAGCTACAGGAAGAAAGAGCATTCTACGGCTCATCTCTGGCTGAATGTATGGCTATCCAAAGTCTGTCTGGACCTCTGGGACCAAGTCTGAGCTAACAAGACTATGCAATAGTGCTGTCTTGAGAGAGAAAGCTTGTGACCACCCACAGAACCCAGGACGTGAGGGTCCTAGGAGAGGGAGGATGGGAGGATACAGGAAAACTCAGCACTTCCTCTCCTAATGTAGGCTCATGGCTGGGTTCATATGAAGCAGCCACAAAGAGACAGAGGCTGAGATCCCAGAGAGATAGGAGGAGATGTAGGGGCAGAGAACCCTAGTAGAAAAATCCTGTGCAGGGAATCTAGGAAACAGTATGACCCTCAGAGCTGGAAGTCTAGACTTAAACAACTCGTTGATCTGTATGTAACCTTGGAAAACGTATTCTATCTTTTGAGCTTCAGTTTTTTCAAAATAATTTCTAAATGAAGAGATAATATCTTCATTGAAGTTTCCTGTGAGATGTAAATGGGGAAAAGAGAAACTATCAGGTGTCTAAGTAAATTCTGGCTGCTATTGCTGTTATTATTATGAGCCAGAGGGAACACAGACTATCATGAGGAGCAGAGATTAATGAGCCCCTAAAATCTCTGATTCTTTGACAACAATTGATGTGAGCCTCCCCCACCCACTCCCACCCTGATGCTCTCATGTCCTCTGAGCACTCACCTTGATGGCCCCAGCTCCTCGGAGACTCAACCAGGAAAGCCAAGGAGGAGGGTTCTCAAGATAACATGTCTGGTCACCAGAACATTCTGTCTTCAGGGCGCATGTTATGAGGTCTATAATTGATGACTGTGAGCACAGGAAGAGTGAGAACTGAGGCCAGGTGGAGGCAGATGAGACTCTGAAACTGTGGGCTTCTAGCACTGGAAATGGTCAAAATGGGTGGAGAGGAGTCACGTACCTGGGTTGCCAATCAGAGAAATAGCAAATGACATTCTCTGTTGCTGGGTAAAGAGGATGCTGGAAGGTGCTGGGGACGAGATGGGAGAATTTTAGGTGCCAGCGTGGTCAAGAGAGCTCCAGTTCACAGTTCGTTTTCAGAGTTAAGAAGAGACTTAAAAGATAAGTCACATCTTCTCTGATGGCAAATGTTTTCCATTATGTTCCTTCCTCCTCCCACCCCATCCCGGAACAGTCAGATGATCTTTGATGATTTTGGTCACTATATTTTAAATCATGTTTTATGTTACATTGTCAAGTTTACAAATATATTCTGCTGATAATTAAGAATGAATGTACTATATAATAAAATATTTATTAATCTTTCTTTCTACCTCCCTGAGATACCTCTCCTTTTATGTAATCATTTCTGCAGAGAGTGTTATAATTTCTATTAGAGTTTGTTAACCTCAGTGAAGTTGATCTTCAAGTATTTATCTATTCCTTGTTACCTTTGTTAGTGAAATTTTTAGATAATTTTTATTTAGATTTCTGCAGTATTTGACTTTTCTATAGTATTTAAACTGTATATGCTGTTTATGTTTTTAAATTACCATGTTATTTTCGTTTTCATATAAGAATACCCAGGACAGCATTACCTGTGGTCACAATGTACACCATATTTTGATCTTGTTTTGAGAAGGGGTTTTCTCTAATTCTTTCTGTTACATGTAGTGTTCATTTTTTATTTTATATTCTCTTTACCATATTTAAGAAATTACTTTTCTAGTCTCATCTTAAATATTTCAAATTTGAGCGATTTCTTTGATACTCATGGATAAAGTCACAAAACATTTAATATTACACTAATATTTTCTTTGTTTGTGGTAGCCTTACCTTATAAATAATAATTACTAACAGATTAGTTCATTAGAGATGCTATTATTAGTGCTTTGCAAGCATTATACTCATTTAATCTCACATAAATCTGGGGAGAGGTATTATTAATGCCAACTCTAAAATAAATTACCTGAGACATTGAGGAGTTAAGTATCTGTCTAATTATCTATGGCAGGTAAATTACAAGGAGAAGAGTCCAACCCAGGCAGTTACTAAGAAAACTGAGCTTTTCTCCACAATCCTCTCCTGGCCCCTCAATCCTACTGGACACCTTCTACTACATAATTCTTTCTTCTCTTGCATTTTACATTATAACCTTCTATTTACATTTTAAATAAATGATGCCAATTTGATTTTTTTTTAAAATTAGAATTGGTGGTCAGTGAGATCACATTTTATAAGTGTCTAAAGTAAAAACTAATGTTCTTTGGAAGTTTGTAAAAATATTCACTATAACAAAATAGAATCAGATTGAAGGAGGTGGAGTCTTTGATTTTTTTCTTCACTTTCTTCCTTATTTGCTGGTCAATTTATATTCTCACATGGTTTTATTTTTCCAAAGAAATTTCAGACCTATTGATCTCATTTTAGTCTTAGAGTTTGCTATAAGGCTGGTTATATCATCCCATATTGAAGACAAGAATAGAAGTCAAGAAGGCAGTATCTTTAATGCTGCATATTTACATAATAGTAGGAGTAGAGTGGTGTGTCCATGCCCCCAGTGTAGAGTTCCTACACTGAAACCCTGCAGCTCTGTTAATGATCCTGTAGAAGAACTTAGTTATCCCTGCACATTTGCAGGACTCACGAACCTCTGGGAGAAAGTAAATATGAATGGGTGCTAATCTTAAACACACCTTTGGACAAAGGCAAGACAGACAGACTCCAGGCTTCATCTGAGTTCTGGGATGGAGTATCTAATCTCTCTAAACCATGCCACTGAATAGTCTTTTTACACACTGAGATAGCGCTCCTTCACAGGCCATGTCACCAGCAGGTGTGTGAGTGTGGCAGGGTGGGGAAATAATAATCGTAGATGGCCAGCCAGAATATTTGAGATCACCTTCAGAGCAAAGAAAACACATCATCTCCCCAAACCTCATGACTTGGCACTCTGACTGCTTAAAATGAGCAGGTATCACTGTCCTCCTCTGTCATCTTAACTGCATCACAGGCTTTATATTTTTCAAGACCTTTCACACCTAACCGTCTGCCCGGTGGGCAAGTGACTCATACAAGCTCAGTGTCCATTGGTTCTTTTCTCAGACTCTGTCAATCCAGGGTCACAGAAGACTTGGCTCAGGTTCATGGTTTCTAATATTTCAGACAGCTCCCCTTAGTAGGTCCTTTACTTTCACAGCTGCAACTCTTTTCTTCTTGCCATCCTTTTCCCGGCTCCATGATGGTTCTGCCAGTTTCTAGGACCCCAGGACAGTGACTCTGACGGCGTTACTGATGGTGCTGCTCACATCTGGCGTTCAGGGCAGAGCCCTCCAGGTAAAAACAGATCTGCCATTCCTGGAGGGTCTGCTCAAGGAACAATTCTAGGGGACTTTCTCTTTGAGGCCAGACCCTGAGACAGACTGCGGGCTCATAAGAACAGCCCAGTGTCCTCCCTTCTCAGCTGGGAATGAGGCTCATCCATTATAGGATAGGTTGCCACCACACAGGCCTATTCTTTCTCCAAGGATGTGAGTACAGCAAACAAAGAGGTGCCCAGGGAGTCAGGATACTTGTCTTTGGGAAATGGGGGCCAAGGACATCCCAGGATAGCCTTGGACGAACAAGGTTTTGCAGAGAGAAGAGAAGGTTGTAAGTGCAGGCTCTGAGCGTGCTCACATCTGCATCCAGTCTGCTGGAGGACTCAGGAAAAGAAACCCTTGGCTGGAGTGTCCAGGCTTTGAGGATCCTTCTCCGGAAGTGAAGCAGGGAGCCCACCCTTTGGACAATTAAGGCAAGATGGGAGGGAGAAGTTGAGTATGGTTCTAGCTCTGAAGCACTCTCATTAAAGGTACTTCTCAGCTTCCCCAGAACTTGGTTAGAGTATTAGGGTGGGCTGAGACTTGTAGGAAGAATGTGATCAAGGATGTATGGGTGCTTGAAGAGATTGAGTGTAGGTTATCAGACAGCCAAGGGAAGCAGTAACAAGCGGAAAAACCTTACCTTCCCGCTGCCTCCCTGTGGCTGTGGTTACTAATGTATGTCTTCCTTGAGCCATTGTTTTTCTCTCAGGATCCTCTTATCTTACTAGTCCAAATTTACACCAACACCCTAAGAGGAAGGACTGCAAAGTAGGTACCTTAGTTTTCCACTGACTTCCACCTTTCCTGCTTAGATCCTTCCTCCTGAACCCCTCCACACCCCTCATAGGACACACCTAGAAGGTATTGACATCATGTCACCTCCTCATCTTTCAGGGTAACAATGTTGGAATCTCTGAGATCAGCCCCTCAAACCCATTACCTCAGGTTCATTGTCTGGGAAGGGAGAACCTTGTAGTCACAGAGGGGAGTGCACAGAGGCTAACCAGCAGGATGGCTCAGCCCTGGGAACTGGAGAGGGCTGAGGCTAGGGAAAGAAGGAGGAGTTGGAGTAGCTCTGGTGACACTAATCAGTGTCAGGAGGAGGTGAGGAGATGCGGCCTCCCCATCCCATAGACAGAGCTGTTGTGTGGGATGAGGGAGCAGTGTTGGGGAGCCACCAAAACCCAGAGATGGGAACAGAGAGCAGAAGGGGCATGTGATGCTGGGCAGTGAACGTGGGGAGGAGGCAAAGACTGGGTTGAAAAGGGTGATGGGGAATGAGATGAGGCAGCAGAGCCATGTGACGGGGACCGAGGGTGGGTTACCGGAGCTCCTGCGTAAGATGAATGTTCGTCAAAACCTGCTGGAGAGAGCTGGAGCCATAGGGAAATTGGGTAAAATTAGGCAGGGCCAATTCACAGTGTACTGCATGCTCCTCCAACTCCACATCCCCATCCTCAAACAGCACAAGAAGAAAGGACAAGGCCAAGTTGTGGCTTAAAGGGGTTGGGGGAAAAGCTTGGCTGAGACAATCCACCCAGAGCTAGAAGTTTTTAATATATCTGTTCTGAGTGAGAGATGGGTGTTCAGCTCCAGTAGTTTCCAAACTGTGCTGGGCAACTCAATTGTTAAGGGTTCACAAACAGGATAAACTTTCTTATATTCAAAACCGAGAGTTTCAAATTACATCCCATAAAACCCTCATCACTTATGTCTACTTGGCAGGTAAAATTCCATTTAAAAAGTTAAATATATTTAAAAAAATACCTAAGACTGGATAAATTTTTTTTAAAAAAAGAATCAAATGTTGCAAAGAAAAATTTCAAAATTCTTATTCTTGAGTGAAAAATGTTCTCTTACTGGTGAATGAAAAGGAGAAACAAAGACTAACAAATGAAAATGGGAGAATCCACACTCAGAGCGGGGCAATTAGACAGGGAGAGGAGCAGGTGGGTAGCAGTGGAGAGAATCTAGGCTCAAGGGCTGGAGGTAGCTGGACTTGGGAGTTTGGGGGTTGGGGCCCAAGGCACCAGGGAAAAGCCAGGTCAGGATATCCCGGGAGTCAAGACTTGGGATCTCCACCCATGCCAATGACACTGGAGACTAAAGGTGGACTCTGTAGTGCCCACAGGCCCAGCCCCACTCCATCTCCATTATCTGCCCACCACCAGCTGTGCAGCTTCTGTGAGGTGTTTATTTAATAAACTGGAGAAATTAACTTGCAGAGCACGAAACAGATGAGCAGAACAATCATAGCACCTTAATTTCCCCAATGTGCCCAAGAACAGAGCAGGCCTGAGGAGACTCAAACCTTGAAACAAACAAGTGCCGTGTCATTGATAATTCTGTGTAGACACACACCTGCTACAGACCATATCATGGCACTCCTAGAAGAACAGCATGTAGGGAAAGGCTGCCCAGCGCTGTTTATGTAAAAATTACATCAGTGCTCTTCCTTTGTGCTGCCTGTAAGCTGGCA